GATAGTGTGATGCATCACTGCAGAAATTAACTCGTAAGTTCGATTCCCGTTGTTTCAACAATACAGAACTGCTTGTTAATGACTGTTGTTAATTAATTCACACAGGTGGTAGAGTAATAACTTCTGTTAATTGGTTTACAATCAAATTAATGTTTAATTACTATAGCTCATTTACATTGGCCATCAAAAAAGCCATTTATTTTTATTTTTGAATCACTTTTACAGTACATGCACTACGTAACTGGCATACACTTGTCTCCCGTATGTGCAGCTATCGCTGACGCTGCTGTAAGTAGCAAACATTCTCCATTGTTTTGCTTAACTTTGAGCTGTTTTTTTCCATTGTGGGTTCCCTTTTGTGCGCTCTTCAAAACAGTGCTTTACACACACACACACACACACACACACACACAGGTCTTCATTCTGTAGGGGTTTGTAAGAATAGGCGTATTGGTTTTTAAACTGTACAAACTGTATTATCTATTCCCTTACCCTAACCCTACACCTAAACCTACCCCTCACCAAAAAAATGTCCCCACAAGGGTAAAATATACTGGTATTACTATACTTGTGGGGACATTTGGTCCTCATCACGTAGTGTATACCAGGTACACACACACATACAGTACATACACATGCATATACACAAAGTGTTCTATATTATGTATTGTTTATGTATTTCATGTTTATGTTCACTTTTCAGGCTCCATTTTCATGTTTATTGTGGACAGACATGATTCACTAGCATCTCGTGGCATCATCAGGTAGGACAGTGTCAGATACTAGACCATACAGATAAAATCCTCACTCACAATATTTCTTCACTCTAATCAAAAGAGTATAAAACGTTTGGTGAATTCTCTGACTTACACATTTTTAATGGATGAACTGGCAACTGACCAAATTTCTGTCAAACACAGAGGCCAAAACTCTTTACGGCAACCAAACACTATCAGCAATCTTTCACTCACTGAAGAAACACGGTCGCCGTGATTTTGCCAAGTAAGACATGTTCCTGGATCAACATCTTTTGATGATCCTGGATCAACATTACTGTCCAGAAATACAGACTTAACCCAATCTCTACCCCTAACCCTAACCCTACCCATAATTTATTCCTAAAATCAGTGTGAAATGATAGCTGATAAACAAGGGTGTAGAAGCACCTAACCCTGATTGTAAACCTAAAACTGATATTTCCTGAAAAGTTATCTCTCACTTCTGATTGGTTGATTGTAATGTTGGTCCAGGAACATGTTGTACTTGGTGAAATCACGCTCACCGAAGAAACACGCCAAACCACACAAGTTGAGGTATGGAAAATATCTATAATGATGAATTCCACTAAAAGTATTTAATATTACTACTACTACTCAGAAGTGTCTACAACTTCTGTTAAGTAATTTGCAATATTATTGTACTTTTAACAATTCAATTTGTCAGTAAAAAAACAAAGACTGTTAGCTGCTCGACACAGCCATCAAACTCTAAACACTTTAACCAACAACTTCTTTTATTTTTAGTAAAATTGTCCATAATTGAGAAAACAATAAAAAGGAACAAAGCCTACCTTGTAATACAGTTAGGTTTTTGAGTGCCATGGAGTGCTCCCATTCCTTTAGCCTCAGATCTGCGGTGATGACATTCAGCACTTCAATCTCATTCCTGAGCTGCTCCTCCAGGTGTAACTGTGTGATCCTCATGCTTGTGGCGTCATGAGACACATTTCCAAACTTCTCCTGCAGTTCACAGATTTTCACCTGATGCAGACTCACATCTCCACTAAGCGAATGGTTTAATGTCTGTACTGTCCATCCCACCTCCTCCAGACGCTCCTGTAGCGTCTCTACGTTCACCACCATTGTCTTTAAAATTGCGTCCTGGGTTCGAATAGAGCCAGCAGCAAAGGCTAACTCTTCTCCCAGACTGCTGCTGTTCCTCTGGCTGGAGTGGCTGATCATGGCCAGATGCTCCCAGAGTTGAGCCACAGAGTCCGTGGTGTGTTCGGAGAAGGCCTGCAGATCTTTGATGTCACGCTCCAAGCCCTGTGCCAGTCGCCCTGGTCATATTAGTAACAGAAGTGTAAGGACGGTATTAATCATACTTGCACATGTAAACTCATTTTTATGTTGATGTGATGTAGGCTTTGTTCACAAAGCCAGCTCAAATCCAGATAGACTCAAATAAGTGTTCATGTAGCTCAAACAATAGTGGGGCTAGTATTGGCACGGGTTAAATCCTCAGGGAATGCATTTAATGTTTCTAAATGTATGGGCCTATGCACTATGTACTTACCTTAGGGTTAAGGTTAGATAGTACAGGTTTTGTGGCATGGCTAGATTTAAAAATGGGTACAGGCAGGGTCAACACTTTAATTAAAAACACGTGAATTGTATCAAATTATTCATTTAATGTTAGTACATATTAGTTAAAGACACTTAATATAAAGTGAGTAAGATGCGTTAGAAGCATCTGCCAAATGGATAAATGCAACTACAAGTTGTTTTGTTATATTACGAGCGTTCTAATTTGATGACATGCTCAATCTCATTTTGACAGGGTAACATTAAGATTTTTTTCAAAGAGCAATTTGTGTGCTTCTTTGCAAGCAAGAAAGTTTGTCTATCTGTACAAAACAATTAACCCGGTCAATGTCACAAATTGTCTTATTCGAATAGTGACCAAGAAGTAGTGCAGAATGTTATATCATTTATTGTTTTACATTTTCAAATTTAGTTAAAACATTCATGATTTTCCAACGTTTACAACATAATACTGTAGATGTACCAATAAATGTGTAAATTACAGTAATGCCTCTTCCGTTGTTTAATGTATCTCATAATATTGCCAGATGCCACTGATGTAAATAAGGCAACATTTCCAGTTTCTACTCTTCCATACAGCATTTAAACAACTACTACTAATAAAAACTCATTGTATGAATTCAATTTAACTAAGGGGAACTCTTCTAAATCTCCCATATAACAAAACAAGTATTTCACATTAATGAAAAGTTTTCCCTCAATAAACTCCTAATTACTGCTTATTGATAGTAAGAAAGGTAGCTTTTGTAGAATGTTATGTTTGGGTATTGGGTAGGGTTAAGGGATTCAGAATATGGTCATGCAGAATAATGCATTACAGTTTTTTTCAACTGCTTACACGCCAAATCTTTATTTGTCACACTTTCTGAAACCCGACACTCAAACAGCAGAACCACACACCAAATCTGCAAAACCATACGCTAATTTTTGGCCTTTGACTCAGTTTTCAATTTCATAAAACATTTTTGGCTAAACACAACACGCAATTCTCTATGTAACACACAAATATCTAACAGGAAGTATCTTGATTTCCTTTTTCAAACACAACCAATCAAAATGCCACACTAATTCATCAGCGCCTCACACTAACTCCTCACATGTGCAAACATTCATTGCTTTACTTAACACCAACCAATCATGGCTTTAGAATAGGCCCATAAATAGGCCAGAGGTCAAGTTATAGGTTTTGAACAATGGATGCAAACAATGCAGACAGAGTAAGAGGAGTTGGAGGGAGAGCCAGAGGACGAGGCAGAGTTCGAGTTAGAGGAGGAGGAGGAGGAGGAGGAGGAGGAGCAAGGGGAGCAAAGGGGAGGAAGAGGAGGAGGACAAAGACCAGGAACAAGAAGAGTGGTCTCTGATGAGATTAGGGCTACTATCATTGATCATGTGATCAACCATGGTCTAACAATGAGAGAGGCTGGACAGAGAGTCCAGCCTAATTTGAGTCGATTTACAGTGGCAGGTATAATTTGAACCTTTAGAAATGATAACAGGTATGTAACAATTTACTGTAATGTACATGTTCTAATGTACACATAATAGCTATTTCAGCATAACATACGGTATACTATAATACATATATTTTAGCACCCATGCATCCATTTACTGTAGTGCACTGCACAATTGGTCACAGTCTGGTGGGTTATCATACTGTACAACAGTACAGCTCAATGTAAGAAGACATTCTTTTCTTTTTTCAAACACAACCAATCAGAATGCCACACTAATTCATCAGCGCCTCACACTAACTCCTCACATGTGCAAACATTCATTGCTTTACTTAACACCAACCAATCATGGCTTTAGAATAGGCCCATAAATAGGCCAGAGGTCAAGTTATAGGTTTTGAACAATGGATGCAAACAATGCAGACAGAGTAAGAGGAGTTGGAGGGAGAGCCAGAGGACGAGGCAGAGTTCGAGTTAGAGGAGGAGGAGGAGTTCAAAGAGGAGCAAGAGGAGGAGTTGGACAGGGAAGAGGAGGAGGACAAAGACCAGGAACAGGAAGAGTGGTCTCTGATGAGATTAGGGCTACTGTCATTGATCATGTGATCAACCATGGTCTAACAATGAGAGAGGCTGGACAGAGAGTCCAGCCTAATTTGAGTCGATTTACAGTGGCAGGTATAATTTGAACCTTTAGAAATGATAACAGGTATGTAACAATTTACTGTAATGTACATGTTCTAATGTACACATAATAGCTATTTCAGCATAACATACGGTATACTATAATACATATATTTTAGCACCCATGCATCCATTTACTGTAGTGCACTGCACAATTGGTCACAGTCTGGTGGGTTATTGTAGAACAGTACAGCTCGATGTAAGAAGACATTCTGACTATATTGTATAAAATAGTATGTATTATGTTACAGTTTATGGCACACACTCACAATATTCTTGAATCTTCTACAGAGTAGCAAGGCGAAGGTTTCATGGTGGGCGAGGTCACAAGTTCACTGAAGAGCAAGAGACGGCTATCGTGAATTTGGTTTTGGCCAATAATGCTATAAGAATTCGTGAAATATGCAATCATATCCTTAATGATGCCACAATTTTTGCTAACATAAATGCTGTGAGCCCCTCAACAATACATCGTGTCCTCCAGAGAAATCAACTGAGAATGAAACAGCTGTATAAGGTCCCATTTGAAAGGAACTGTGACAGAGTCAAGAACCTTCGACATGACTTTGTGGAGGTATGCATACAACACTTTCTCCAATATATCAGACTTGCACCTACCAAGTCAAGCTATTGGGTTGTGCATATACTGATCTACATGTTGTTTTGTCTTTTACAGAGAATTTTGGAGATGGATGCCCATGCTATGAATACGTTTATGTGGATGAGGTGGGCTTCAATCTCAGCAAAACCAGAAGAAGGGGGAGAAATGTCATTGGACAAAGGGCCATTGTCAATGTCCCTGGACAACGTGGCGGAAACATTACAATGTGTGCTGCAATTACACAGAATGGTGTCCTGCACCATCATGCCAGACTTGGCCCCTATAACACTGATCACATCATACGTTTTCTGGATGCTGTTCATGATATGCTTGTTCAAGGTCTGCAGAATGAAGACCAGGCAAGATTTGTCATCTGGGATAATGTCAGCTTTCATCGCGCCCATCAGGTCCAAAACTGGTTTGTTACTCATCCCCATTTTTCTGTTGTCTACCTGCCTCCATATTCACCATTTCTAAACCCTATAGAGGAATTTTTCTCCACATGGCGCTGGAAAGTGTATGATCGTCATCCCTATGTCAACATGACACTTCTCCAGGCAATGGAGGAGGCAAGAAATGTCATTGGACAAAGGGCCGTTGTCAATGTCCCTGGACAACGTGGCAGAAACATTACAATGTGTGCTGCAATTACACAGAATGGTGTCCTGCACCATCATGCCAGACTTGACCCCAATAACACTGAA